GTACATACTGAGTGGTAGGTGTGTAGGATTTCTATATGATGTGTGTACATACTGAGTGGTAGGTGTGTGGGATTTATATATGATGTGTATACATTTGTTTGTTTGTTTGTTTGATTTTGTTTAACGTCCTATTAACAGCTAAGTGTATACATCACGTGTGGTAGAGTGTGTAGGATTTCTATATGATGTTGGTACATACTGAGTGGTATGTGTGTAGGATTTGTATATGATGTGTGTACATACTGAGTGATTTCTATATGATTTATTTACATACCGAGTTGTAGGTTAAACTAAGAAGAATATACTTTAAGCCAGAAAACAAATAGTTGTTTCATATTAAATATAGAATATTAATAATGTTAAATCAAATTTTCTTTAGGTTATTTAATTGTTGCCTGTTTTTTTTAGACATATGTCAGTGGAAACAATTACAATATTCATTAATAAATTTCTGGTATAAGCACTGGCAGCAAAATAAATTATGACATGCAGCATAAATGGACAAAATCATGGGTTATCTCCCTTCAACAGGTGCAGGACATTTAATGTGAACGCTGATGGCACAGGTAAACTTGTGGTAGTAAACATGAAGGTCCGTTAATACGACACCACGAGAGAGTGAAACAATGAACCATAACGGCGTGATTCTAGCAACTCACTTTTATGAATATTATAACAATTATGAAAAAAAATAATGTGAAAAACAGGTATTTAGTGTTCATATATGATAGTACATAAACAATCATGCTTCAATTATATGAGTTAGAAACTGGGTAACTGTGGAAGTATTGAGCACGTCAGTCTTTGAAAACTGCAACTCGATATCTCTCTATTTATCATTACTTTTTATACGGCCGACAAAGGTAGCATAATGTAAAACAATGATGTGCGTAACATCAATCCATCGGGTTGTCGTTTTTGCATCATACCTTATGACCGCAACCAGTCAAAATTTGTCAGATCAAACCTACTAACAGTGTCATGTTTTTTTAGCTTTGATGCCGATTCCAATGTTACCAACAGTCCAGGAAATTGACCTTCATAGACAGATGTATGTCTGCTTGGATAAGACGTACTTGACATGAATCGGATTTCTCCATCACGACATTTCACCGTGCTACATCCCTCCGTTCCATACACCTTTGTGTGCACCCCTCCGTGTATGACGACAGTATAGGTTTGTCCTGGTGTTATTTTGATGATGTGCTGGAATTCTATAGTAACCTCTTCCTTATTCGGCAACATGTGTGTTTTCTCGTATAGAGTGTCACCAGCCTGATTGTAGACTCCTATAAGAATATTGCGATCTCCCGTTTTCGAACCGTAAAGCTTCAGTCCATGCAGCGAAATGTCAACGGTGGAGACAAACGATATCGATTCGCTATCATCAACAATCATTCCACTCCGTTTATTGCGCGTCGTACCCTTAAATCTGCTTATGCATTCTTTTACAAATGTTACTGGTTTTCTAAGTGCTCGTTGGTTCACGGTAAATTCTGTGCAGGGATATGCCTTGTTGTCCTGCTGAAATCTTAGGATGCTCAGTAACTGTTCTGCCGTCAGGACATCTCTTTTAATGACATGCTGTGATAAATACTTGGCGTCTATGATGGGGAACCTGACTGTGTAGATTATGTCCCCTAGTACCTCCCGTCTATTTGTATCCGTCACCTCCAGGCCCTGACGTCCACACTCCGCCTCAGACCAACTCATCACCGCCTCGTACACCACGCTCTCCTCCACCGCTAATTCGTCCGACTCTGTGATACTCTTCACACAGACGCCACACAGGTCGACGAAACTGTTGGATTTCAGCGCTTCTTTCGAAGACCTTGCGATGACGCGTCGATAGTCCTCCTTCAGGCTTTCCTCTGTGTAGATATGGGCTTGTTCTAATAGAAGACATACATTTTCAGCCGTAAGAGAACTCTTTAGAAAAGTTTCACACTTTTTGACAAGACGGTCAACCATGTATTTCCTCGCAGCTGACAGGATAGAGATTGAAGTTTTGACGGTCAGTTCTATTGTGTCTGTATACAGATACCTATATTTAAATAAACAAAATAACTTATTTTGTAAATAGAACATCTTACAGCACGACATGGCATACACATTATCCATTTTACTCTTGATAGGATTTTAAAATTTTGAAATTGTATGAAGACATGAAGAAGGAATTACGGTCATAATTCAACTTGCAGCTAAGTATCGTTCTATTTATTTAATATGCATAGGAAATCATAAAACAGTTAATCTTACCTCAAAAACATTGTGAACACCTCTTGTTCAATATCCGGAATTGCTATTTCGCCCTTTTCGGCGAGATTTCCCTCAAACATGGTGTAAAATACAGGACTTCTGCTGATCAGAATAGTTTTATGGGCCGAAATCCTGTATTTGTCTTCTCCAACCAGGAATGTGACGTCACATGCTATACCGGATGCGAATAGATGATTCAGACACTCGACCAGTGATTTATCACATTGCCAACTTGGTTCTTGAGCTTGCGCAGTTGCCATTTCCGCCTTTAAAGATATGTAGATAATACAGGCGTTTATAAAAATAACTTTTGAAATAAGTGATTGCTTAAAGGCTATGTTGAACCCGTGCAACATTGTATAAACGGTCAATATACACTAAGTAAAGTGAGAGTCGGATTAGAGTCAGGACTAAGGTATACACCCATGTCGAAATTTAGTAACAGTTGATGACCAATTACAATAACAAAATTCAATTAAGTATAAACAAATCGATTTTAACTTGCATAATTGTCAGATATTCAGTACATTATTAACCTCATGAATATTGTACACATAATCCTTGATATTGTAATCGCGTTCGTGTTTCATTTGCTTAAAGATCACTTAAAACACACTCTTGATTATATGCGGTACACTGTACTTAAGGAACCTCGTATTGCCCATTCTGATTTGGTTTGGTTTTATAGTGTTTAACGTCCTATTTACATATGAGGTCATTAAAGGACATGGCTCAATATGTGTTGTGTAAGCGTGAAAGTGTGTATGTGTGCTGGAGACAGAATATGTTGTGTACTGACAACTGACAACATGTGAATCAGATGTTGCCATTCCCTCTATGCTGAACATTAAGCAGGTAATAGGAACTACCATTAAAGACTTTGGTATGTCCTGGCTTGGTGGCAGAACCGTTTGCTTTCCTCACCTGTGCAAACGCTCATCATTAGAGTAGAAAGTGTGGTATTATGCTTTGTCGATTTGATGAGACGATGAATTGAGTTGGCCGGAGACAAATGTTTTGCGAAGAAACTCTCGTAATTTTTTTTCTCAAGATCAGCTCAATTCATCACATCTTAAGATCAACCAAAGCAATATAAAATCCTTGCTTTTCAAATAAAAGCGTTTGACTATACATGGAACTTGTGGACATCTGTAAAAAGGCACTTAATGTTACATGTACTTAACAAGCAGTTACCTTTAAACTTGATATTAACATAAACTCAGTCATGAAATGTCCGCTGACCATTTTGGGACATAAACCATGCTGAATATTGACAAATTCTAAGCATTGTATGTGATTTTTGTAATTTGTCGATATTGTTAATATTAATAAACAAAAAGTTCAGCTGTTGCGGCGGATGACCATCGGACAGATAATGTGAAATAAGTTCATTGACAGTGAATAATTGTACATGGGCAAATAAAACCAGACACAATCTTTTAATAGTGTAAATTGAGTCCAACTTGGTTGAATAATGCTCATGTAATAAAAAAATTGTGATCGACATAAATATTGTGATACACGACTTTTGAACATTTGTTGTGATATTACAATTTCAAATTTCAGAAGTTCAGAAATTACCTTTGAATCAAATTCATGTTGTGCCTTTTTGAACATGGATACAAAATTATCCCTTTGGGAGCCTCACTTTCAGTAAAAGTTTTGACAGTAGAGTACTTCTACTTAATTGTCCTGTAACCATAAGGAAATTATACAGATATCTCACTGTAAAAATCTTATCATATTCATATACTACAAATATCTACTTGTAATAAACAACAATAAGCATTGATAAAAAATAACTTGTGTATTAATCATGAGCAAATAATATATAACTTCCTGTTTATAGAGGTCAACATTTTCACCGTTTTATGACAGTGATCTGAGGATAATTTATCATTTTAAAACGCTTTATTGTAACACGTGTACAAATATGATAGCATAAGGGTATCACTACACTCACCGTTCAATCCGTAAGATCAGTCTATTTTATAATATTCCTTTTTTCTTTACACCCGGACTATCCGTCTTTGTAGTGTTACGAGGAATTCCAAAGTTGAAAGTAGATATATGCTGGGGTACCCGAGAGGGTACTTTATTTTAAAATATATTTCGTTTTTTTGACAGCTGTTCAATGCCCCTGCGTATGCATATTTGTGTTGATCCTTCCCCTTTTGGCGTCCTGTCTTGTTTTTTGTAATACAGGAATGTTTGCCTGTAAATGGCGTAAACACTGCTGTTTATTGTATTACAGGAACGTTTGCCAGTAAATGACGTAATCACTGTTATTTATTGTATTACAGGAATGTTTGCCTGTAAATGACGTAAACTGTTATTTATTCTATGACAAGAACGTTTGCCTGTACATGACGTAAACACTGTTATTTATTTTATGACAGGAATATTTGCCTGTAAATGACGTAAACAGTGTTATTTATTGTATGACAGGACTATTTGTCTGTAAATGACGTACACACTGTTAATTGTTTTATGACAGGAATGTTTGCCTGTAAATGACTTAACCACTGTTAATTATTGTTTTACAGGAGTATTTGTCTGTAAATGACGTAAACACTGTTATTTATTTTATGACAGGAATATTTGCCTGTAAATGATGTAAACACTGTTAATTATTGTATGACAGGAATATTTGCCTGTAAATGACATAAACACTGTTAATTATTGTATGACAGGAAGACTTGCCTGTAAATGCATTACACTGTTATTTATTATAAGAACAAGACCACATAGAAGAGTCATATATAGAGTTTACACAATGAGTGTCGGTTGATAAACATGCTTATCTAACTAGAGTTAGATAAATATTTTTATCAACCGACACGAGTTATGTAATTTGTTTCTACCACTACTTGATCAACTGACGGGGGCTGACTGGCGTGTATTTGTTTACATGCACCAATTTAACACTCGTAGTGAGATATACAGGAGTGTGTTAAACTCATTGATATTACGCAGAATTATTTTCAAGCGCCATGAAACATTTATTTTGTTTCACAAAACAAAAATATATCAAAAGTGTACATTTGATAATGTAACAAATGATTAAAACTGTCGAAATCGACTTGTTTCTGTTGCAATATTTCTGCGGAGGCTCTTCCGCGACGGACAAAGACGTGATTAGGCCGCCTATGCCATGTAGCTATACATAGTTACTAACAAAGTTTATATTGGCGGGGATTCTGGACAAGAAAGTTTCATCTTCTTTAATCACTTTCGTCAAGAGTACAGCACTCGTGGTCGTTTTGGTGCAGCCTGGTTTATTTTTATATGAAATGTTATATAAATATATTGGTCCATTGTAAAGACGTGGTGTTGATCCGTCATTGTAACAGTGGATGATGAGCTGCTTGATAGTGAACTCGAAGCAACAATCGCACGTGGAACCTGTTGAATGTGAGCCTCTCATGATGGACCAGCTGAGGTTGTTGGATATGGCATCTGATATCGCCTTGTGTTATTTAGTGTTAAGACTGGAGTAGGAGCTAATGCTCTGGATGTTGAGATGACCAGAAATCTAGAATAAAATGCGATGATAAGTCCGGTGTTTTGGGCTATTTTGTGCAGAACTGTGATGAAATGAGATCGATTGGATTTATTGTGAATGGATTTTATAATTCTTAATACTGAGGTAAGTCACTATCAGAATAATCTTCAACAAGTTTGACAAGAGTCTAGCTTTTTGTTAATTGTATGGTTTGTCAATTGTTTACTGGAGGCCTATAATCTAGATAGAACTACCTGCATTATTTTATTCGGGGGTACTCAACTGTCATTCAACTTCTGTACTAGGTATTTTCGTGCACTGTGGTTTGTTTGTCTTTTTGCCGGCGCAGCAGTTGATCAAGATTTTGACCCCGTCAGACCTGAAAGTTAAATTCAATACAGGCAACTGTCAACTTGTGTTTGAAATTGACTGAATCGCGTAATTGAATCGATATAATGACCAATTTCAGACCTTTTTAGGCCTATTTTTATGTAAATTATGAATTGAAGGCCTATATTACTTTACAGTAGAGTAATATGTTGTGCATTTGTGCATACCTGCATTTTTTGCCATAGTCGACATGAATTCTTCCAGTTTGTTCCCGCCGACTGGTTGTGCTTTATACCACTTTTGGGATTTTGGCATGTTGGTGTTGGTCGATATATAAAACGGACTGTAGTCTAAGCAATATGTCGCTGGCCGGTGTTGTTTGTACAGGTTGTAGGCGACCACGGGACAGCGGGAGGGGTTTTCGGGAGGAGACAATGCCCGTGGGAAAGTGCCCTAACATTTCTTGGGTTTGAACCGGGTCTGGTTTTGGTTTGGCATTCATTGTATTGCAAAAAATTGTCATTTCCCGAGTCGTTTCACACGACCATATCACCCCATTTCATTTCGTGATGTTCTGCAATGCCCCGCATTCCGAAATGTATGGGGTTGTTGAATCAGACGGTTCGTAAGAGGGTTTCAGGATTGTCATCACCCAACTGCTTTGTTTCGCATACTTTGTTGATGTCAGAAATAGGATCAGCTTTATTTTCTTACTTTCCCTTCCCACCCCTTTTCATTTTGTTTTGTTTTGTTTTGATGACTTCTGTCACTTTGTGAAATCCAGGTGCCTGTCCACACTGTATGAAATTCCCCTAATAGTACTAGGTTCTAGATCTTTTCCATCCTTTCCTTTCACATTCATGAAAAATATGCAAATAAGTGTATGATTGGCCGTGACTCCTTAAGGGTTTGACAGAGAAACTCTGACAGCTTGTTCATGTCAGATTCGGTCCTTTTCTGTGTGTTCATGTTCTGTTCATCTCTAATAAATTTATCTATATCAATGTTGATGATTTCGTCATCGGAATTTGGTTGATTATTTGGCGTTTTTTGATGGGGAAATAGGCAGAATGGGGCATTCCTTTTGTGAGAAGAGGCGGAGCCTAACGTTGTTATGATCTGGGGGAGGGTCTGGGTGGGTATGGGGAGAAGTATTGCCGGTGGGATGACCCGCCCGGGGATTATATCAAATCTGTACCTGGCCTCGGTGACCATCTTACCGCTGGAGTCCAGTCTGATTTCAAAACTACGGAAACCCAGGTTATTTGAAATATACAAAACTTCACCCTTCTCTCCCCCACAAAGCTTCACCCGATCACCTATCTGTACCAGCGGTAGCAATGACAACACGGCCATGTTGATGTTGACAGACGACAGTTCTGATTGAAAATTAATGTGGTTTCAAAGTGCATATTTTCAGCCAATCAAAATGCCGGAAGGTGTAAATCAACTGCATAGCGTGTTAATTAACTGCACAGCTTGTTAATCAACCGGAAGTGCAGATAATCAACCGTCTAAAAGTTGATAAACATGGGCAATAGTGATAGAAACACACAATACTGATTCAAACACAAAACACCTAGGCACGGAGGATCAAACGAAAGTGCTGACAGACAAAGTAGATGTGAATCTAATTTACAAAATGGTACTAAAACCTATAACAGATACAAGATTAGATATTATTGATGATATTGATGAGGACACAGTTTTTGTGATGATAAACATTGATTTAAGTAGATTTTTGGCACTATAAATGAAACTATCAGCCAATTACAAACTGTTATACAATGTAGAAAATGCGAATTGTTCTCTTGTATTATTTTCACCTTTAAGGAAATTAACACGGAGCAAAAAAAAAGCAGTATTTGCAACAGTGCTATCACAAAATATATTGCCATAAAATATTTTGTGATAACACTGTTGCAAATACGTGTTGCCACAAGTAAAACACTATCTGCAACAGTATAATCTCAATATACCGATTATACCGCCACAAGTCACTTGACTTGAGACTTCTGTACCTAAACTGGAGAAAACGTGTCTCGGAACAATGCATGCAGTACTTACTTGGTGAAAACCTTTAAACGACCAGAATGTGAAAATATATCATGGTGTGAATGATCTAGACACAAATAAAATATCTGATCTGAACATGTATCCGATCTATTTACTGTATGACAGGAAGTATTACCAGAGCTTGACTTTTGCTCCTCTTGCCCTCCTAACCGAGGACAAATTTACCATGACGGCTTACCAAGCATACCAGAGTAAGTACATGTATATGTAAAGGACGAAATTAACAATGGGTGAATATAGATTTTCATTGTGAAGTTTACATATTTGTTTGACCAAAATTAAAATTTCCAGGTATCCAGTGAATGCAACCATGTCATATATTTTTCCGGTATTCATTATAAGTAAACAATCATGGTACTTTGTGAATAAATTATTCAGATGATATTTAGAATAGCTTTGCAACTGCTCTGCTCAATTGCATAGACTATCTTTGTTTTTTATCACCTAATTACTGTGAAATTAGATAGTTTCGAAGGGAGAAAATTTCTTGTTTTCCCCTAAAACATCAACAATTTGTGTGTACATAAATTCGTGGATTATGAAAACCATCTCACACGGGGAATAGCTTTATACCAGACTTGTAATTACTTCGTGGACCTATGAATTCTTGGATGAAGATTACCCACGCAATCATCAAATATAAAACCCCAAGAAAATTAGTGTTTTCACAGTATATATATTGTCTCTCAAAGAAGGATAAGGATCAATTATCCTAATTAATTTTTCGAATCCATGCAGACTTTATAGAGTAATAGCAACATCGTTAAGTATGACGTCAGAATGATTCAAAAGCATCGAACAAATTACGCTGTGCGATTGGAGAATTATTCTTTGGAAGTCTTTATCTCCTATTCATCCAAATACAGGTATGTCAGTTTTGTTTTTATAATTTTAAGTTCTCATTCTAAATCATACAACTCAAAATTTGTTCATTTTATATATAATTTCTCCAATCAAAAGTGTGTATTTTCTTATATTTTTGAAAACGTAGATATATCATGTCTTTAAACATACATAAACATCAAAGAGTTTTGGAGACAGTACTACAGCTACATTTATAGTTAACTAAATGGATATTTTCACGAACTCGCCTATGTTCTGCCGTCAACGAGATCATAATTTGAATAGTAATGAAATT